TATCCCTGCTGCTACTGCTTTCCTGATAACACTGCTGGCTTTTAGACCAGCAGTGTCCAAACAAGATATATCAGCATTATTGGCTTGAATAAAGTAATATTAACAGCAAACACACCTGCATTTTGGAGTAAAGTTTGATTAAAAGAACTAACTAAAATGGTATTTGGTCCTTTATCATCTGAGAGAATGTCAATGCTGTTAAACTCCTAAGTTCACTGAAGCGACTCTCAGCTTCCCACATGCTTGATAAAATGGCTAAGAGCAGTCTGAGAAAATTGTCCAATTCAATCAATGGTCCCTATATTTCTCAGGTCAAGGATTAGAAGAGACTTACAGCCTCCAGGACAAAGATTCACTTGTACTCATTCATGAACACTTCCAGCTGGGTTATGTGCATTCATACAGTGAATAATGGATTGGTCTTTAAACTTAATTATATCCATTGTTTTGCATTGCAGCAAGATACACTTCCTCTGAACAACAGATAATCAGTGCAAGCTGAAAACCTACTTACTACCTAGAAGTGGGGATACGACTTCAATTGTTTAAATATTCATCATTAAAAATATTTTCCTGCTTCTACAGGAGTGCTTTCCCAATTTCCCTCTTCTCATAAGAGAGAGAAATTGAGATTTATTCAAAATATGTTCATACATACTGTATGAAAATACCTTACATTGTTACGTCTCAGCTCTGTATTCTTGGGGAACCCTGGTACAGGATACAGTCTGTCTGACTCACAAAGGACTCCCCCCCCCCCTCCCTCCCTCCCCTCCTCTACCTAGTGAGAGATGCACCTAAGACCCTCACCAGATAAGGGTGACGAGTGAATCAACTGCCCTAGGTCTCATTTACATGAGAGATGGAAAACAGAAAGCCTGAAGCAGAGACTGCAGTGAATTCTGGGATCAGAGAAGCAGGAGAGCGCTGCATGATGGGGAATCTGTGCTTCCAATGTTAATCAACCCATGTTCACACACACCCAGCTCAGCATTTATCAGACCAGTTCTAATCTGGATTTGCTAGGACTTTTCCCCCCCCAGACACACGCACAGAGCTCTAAGTTTAATAGGCATCTCGGGCCGTACATTCCCCGGTCCCACTATGGGAGGCCTATTTAAACTTGATTGACTAAAACTCGGTTGCCGGGTTAGGGAATGCTGAGGCAAGAGACCGAGTCAGAGGGGGTATGGGCAACATTTGAACAATGGTTAAGGGTTCATCACAGCATCCAGCCTGCTGGAGCCCTAATCCCAGGTGTTGTCATATCTTTCCCGAGACGACTGGTGGGAGTCCTCTCCACAAAAGGTTATGAGCACCCCAATAATTGCTTTAAGTCTGTTAAAAGACTATAGTAAGATCTGGAAAAGTCATGCTAAGCTGAGGCTTGTGCACAACAAGTAAAAATCCAAAATCCTGATGCTGCAAGCTATCTATTGTTCCTGAAGAAACCATGAGATATCCCATCAGTATATCTGCCACCCATAGGAATCTCAAGCTGGCTCCCAAGTATTTGGGTTACTCCCTAATCTTAAGTGTTTCCTGATTATCAATCAGTTTCCTGAGATGGTCCAAACCAGATAACCCCTTGTCAATAGAAAAGACAATGATTTACACTACTGAAGGTGCTTCGAAGCAGCTGAACTGAGGGTATAAAAATCTGTAAGTGTGTGTGCTGCTAGAGGGAGAAGAGGAAGAGGAAAAGGAAGGAAAAGAAGTAGAAGCAGGAGGAAAGAAGGAGAAGAAGAAAACCCCTGTGCTGACACCATCCCCTGTCGTTCTTGGGACGCTGGAAGAACAGATCATCTCTCCCTTCAAGGACTGTGCTACAGACTGTGCCTGTCAGCTTTGCAGCCTGAGTACCGTGGACTAGGTGAGATCCCAGCGTTCTCTGTCTTCTTTCTAGGCATAAACTTCTGAACCTGAACTGTATCAGTTAAGCTTGAGCTAAGTTTCCCCAAATACTTAGTGAAACCAGGGTAGTATTGTCATTGTTGGTGTTTGTTTTTCTTTTGCATGTCTATTACTACTAGTACTATTATATATTTCATATGCTTAGCAATAAATAACTTTTATAGTCAAACTGGTAGTAATTGGGTATATTTTTCCTTCTCTGCTTCTCTTTCCTCCCGTGCTCTGCAGCAACGCTTCTTTTACCTATGCTAAAGATCCCTGTGAAGCCCAAATTATTGTGGGGTCTTTTTTGAAGTCAGGATATATGACATCAATCTCTTCTCCCTTGTCCAGGTGATAGGTCACCTGGTCGTAGAAGGAAATGAGATTGGTCAAGCAAGACCTACCTACAACAAACCCGTGCTGGCTATCCCTTAAGATGTTGGCGTCGGCCAGTCCATTAAGGATGGCCTCTTTAATAAACTTTTCTAAGATCTTCCCCGGGATAGAAGTCAGGCTGATGGGCCTATAGTTTCTGCAATTCACATTAATTCTCGCAGCTAGCTGCGTTCTTCATCAACGCACGAGCCGAGTGATCCACCGCTAAGAGTTGATAATGCATGAATAAGCCCATTAAGTTCAATGTGACTGCTGACACACACATGTAGACAGTAATGAGGCCTTATTTTGTAAAAGGGTTTTGTGGGGTTTTTTTAGATAAATTATGGATTCAACAGCAACACAACATCATACCTTGGCAGATCGGGGCAGGAGAATCCCATTGGTACATGCCATTTTGACGTCGTCTGCATGTTGCATTAGTATGGCCAATCATTCTATATCCAGGTTTGCAATAAAAGTGCACTTTACTTCTAGTCGGGCCTCCTGTTTTGTTCACAATCCCACCATTCTTCAAGACAGAGTTTAAGCTGCAATAGGGAGCTATATGCCAAAAAATACAATAATATCAAGATATAAGGCATTTAATGCAAGTATAATAATCCCACTTATAGCAGTAATAAAACATGTTTATGCGGTTTAAAATTCTTTGAAATATCTAAAATTACTGTCAGAATTGTTCAGTATAAAACACGTATCTTATGTGGAAATAACATGAGGTGGAGGACTACCACTCCATTCACTCAGAATTATTTGAGATGATAAATCATAGAAGGGATGTAACTGAGTAATATTGCTGACATATGTAGTTGCTTCAGCACCTCAGATACCTCACATTTAATTATCTGTCTCATAGATTAGATTAATTTAAAGATATCAAATATAGTTACTTGAGCTACATATCATGCACACTACATTATTTGCTTTAGTTAATTACTATTTAAGAATTTCCAAGTACTTAAAAGTTTGAATCATTTAATTAAACACTACCCAAAAGACACGAAAAAAAATCAAGTAAAGTAAAACAAAAATTTGGAATTATCATATATATGGTGTTTTGGATTCTGGTTAATAATCAATGTGAATATTTCATTACGTTTGAACTAGGCACTTTAGAGAAATGTCTTCATACAATGATATTATATAGTAATATAAAAAAAATGTTCATATGATCATAGACGGTTATACTTTCAGAGAAATTAAACACTGGGGAAAAAAACAAAACCTAAACCCTGACTTTGTGCGCCTATGAAAATACTGGCTGAATGCATGATCTAGAATAAAATACAATGCAGGCTTTTTTTTTATTATCACTCAACCTTCAATGCCCTTATTATTCTTGTCCTGGACCTGGAGTAAGCAGAGACTGCCAAAATTGTCAAAATACAATATACTGTGATGTGCTTTAATAACAAGAATAAAAATCAACTAGACAGAGAATTTCATTTCAGACTGTGACCTAAAGAAAAAAAGAGAACTTACTGTAAATCTCTAGAAGTCAAAGGGTAATACATTATTAACCTACTTGGCCATTTTGCCTTCTGAAAATAATAATTTAATAAATGTATTTTGCATATTTTGTTATGGATTCCAATAACTGTATATGCATGAATGGAAGCCCAATAATTGGTGAGACACCTAGGACTTGATTATTCTGAGTATTTCACAGTAGCTGTTTTTTAATATTTAAAGCACTGCTGCCATTGATTTCACATATAACTAAGAATGCTTGCCACTTGTGCAAATTTGATTGCAGAGAATCAAGCCAGATACCCACTTTTCAATATGGCATTTTCTGACTTTCGTATGAGTGATAATTTTAGCAATATTATTTTAATATCGGGCATCAAGCCCAAAGAGAAGAATGAGACTATGAGTGGTCCAGTAAAGATTCTGTAACAAGAATGGACATCAGAAGAGCCCCGTTGGATAGAAAACTGGATTGACTTAGTGACTAGCTTAACAGAACCAGGACAAAAATCCAAGACAGAGAACAGATTGCACTTGGACTGGTAAGGTTGGAGATGACAGGGGAGAGCAGGTCAAACATGGCAGGAATCAAACACAAGGGTCTGCATCTATTAAAACATCCTCCTTTCTAGAGTCTAGAAGGGAATACAAAATTCTAGTATCCCCATTGCCTTGCTGCCAGTAAATATCTGTGAAACCTACTGGACATGTTAGGGTCCCATACCTGCTCTAGTATGACTGATACTTAAAATGACAGGCTATTGCTACCATCATTAACTCCATGACTTCACGTAGCATAAGGCTTTGGGGTGGATCAAACTTTCCAACCCTGCTGCTGCACCATGTGGGTGCCAGTTTGGTTCTAGATGGTAGAATTTGTTTTATCAGCTTTCATTAAAAAAGGGGAAAAAACCTAAGAAATTAAATGCAAAATAACCATGTTAAAGAAATATTTAACATTGCATTATCAAACCCTTGGAAGTAAGGAAATACAGGAATTAAGCATGCTGGTACAACCTTCATTTGTCTCGCTTTTCCATGTGTATGTAATTTAACTACATGATTGCATAGTACATATTCCACTGGAAACCTGATTCATTTATTGAACTGGAAGGGTGGTGCTCCCATAATGAGCAGGTATTAAATATTTTGTATTATCCTAATAGTTTAAGGTATGCCCCTAAACCTTATTTACTGCACTCTTCAAACACTGCTATAAAGATTGAATAATTAATTTGCTTATAAGCTTTTCTGTGGCACACACAGCTATGGCATCTGTCTGGTTCCCAAATATTACTTATCTTCACAACATCATTGAAAGGTAAGGAGGTGTTATCATGCACAAGGCACAGAGATTAAGGCCAAAAGTGTTTGATAATTTTGCTGAGACACCCAACACTTTATTTTTCTGAATGCTTTATATTACACAGCATTTTAATTTTTTTAAGTGTAGCTGCCATTGACTTGAGATTCAAATGGGAGTGCCTGCCACTTTTGCAAATTTGATTGCAGGGTGTCAAGTCAACTACCCATGCTTAAATCTGGCATTTTCAAACTTTTGATTGAGTGACTTTACAATTTTAGCAATATTATTTTAATATAACTTTTCTGTATTTCTGACTTAACATTAGAATACCCACTTGGTTGCAGGCCCAGCTCAGACCCACTTCTATAGACATGTTTAGATGCCCTGTTACCTCAGGCACACCAAACAAAGTGGCACAAAATTCATAGGAAAAGATGGTATGACAGCCATAAAAATGTATTGAGCCAGAGCCTGCAGTCCTCATCCAACCTAAAGTCCATCTGAAGTCAATGTGAGTTTTGCCTAGGTGAGAACTGTAGATATACTGTAGTATTAAATATATTCTTTTTAATTAAACAGCTTGAATATTTATTAATTTATTCCACATTTTGTGGGAAGGAGGACAAGCTGGGTCATGTTTTGCAGCTAAATTCCTTAGAATAACAATACAGTTATTTTGACATTGTGATAAAGCTTGCTGAAAGCTATAACTTTTGATGAGTGGTTTTTGCACGTGTGGCCCTGCTGACCCTGAATAGTAAGTGGGCCTGGCAGCCAGTGACCTAACTACTAGGGCTGCATGAAACAGCACTGTTTCATTTCAACTTCCATTTCACAGTTTCAACAGGACAGTGTTTCATTTTGAGTTTCATTCTGAAGCACTGTTCCGTTTTGTTTTGTCAAAACTGCTTCGCTGTTTTGACACTGTTTCGACATTTTACCCATAGGTTATAATGGGGAAGCATGAAACTGTCTATAACTTTGTCATTTTTTGGCAGATTTGGATGAAAACAGCAGGGATGCAGTGCCTGGTGGCAGTGGCTTGCCCCAGCCAGGAACATTAATCCCCTGAAAATTCTCCATTTGGCTCTGAAGTTCCCTCACTACAGGGATCACCTGGATAAGGAGGGCATCACCAGTGCTAAGGGTCTCAGTGGCCTCAAGGAAGGGCTTGAGGACCACCAGGATCTGGGAGATGGTATCCCACTCAGCTCTGTTAAGGGGGCCACAGACCCCAATCTCCCCGACCAATGCCATCTCATGGATGGCATTCTGTTGCTCCACCAGCCTCTCGAGCATCAGGTATGTGGAGTTCCACCAAGTCTCCGTATCCTGAATTATTTTGTAGGATGGTTTTGTAGATGGTTGTCCTGCAGGATCTTGCTCCCCTTGATGCTCTGGTGGAAATAGCCTGCCACCTTCCTGCATTTGGAAATGAGCTTGCTGGTGGTGCTGGTGACATCACCAGCAGCCCTGTCCCTCACCAAGGCATCCCTGACAATGAGGTAGAAGTTGTGTTCCACATAGTGGATGCCAACAAAGTTGGCATCACGGACCGCCTTGACCATACCGGCCCCATTGTCGGTGATCATGAACCTGCAGGTGAGCTCACCCTGCCCAATGAGCCACTCCTGCACCAAGTGGTTCATAGCCTCCATGATCTCTTTTGCCATGTAGGACTCATTCATTAGCTCAGATTCAAGGAGAGCCCACTGACAGCCTGTCTGGTTACACCCATGTCCTGTGAGGGAGAGGTAGGCACAATCTCCACCACAGCTGCTCCAGAGGTCCAAGTTGAAGTGTAAGGCCATCTGCAGACCTGTCTTGTGCAGCTCCTCCCTCAAGTACTCTCTGGTTCTTAGGTCTTGCCAGAATCTCTGTTCCTGGTTCCTAGTTCCTAGTTTAGTGTTTTGTCTCCTTAGCCCAATCCTTTATCCATGTTTAATTCTTGGGTTCTAGTTCCTGGTATTGACCACCACCAGATCTTTGCTCCTGACTCTAGCTAAGCTTCCTATTTCCTGGTTGCTGGCTCAGGGCTCCAATACAGACCTCAGCGTTTAGCTGTTGCCCAGGTGGCTTCTGGTCCTAGTCTAGATCCTACCTCTGGCTTCTGAACTTGTCTAATCCTAATCCCCTAGTTTATGATTCTCTAGTACCAAGACCCAACTGCCAACATCCAGGTTATACCTCTGTATCTACTCTATACAGTTTAGTAATCATTAAAAATGAAATGTTTCTATTAAACCAACTCCCATAATGGTTGGAGTGCAGAATATTCAATATCTTGCAAGATCAGGCACTAACACAGCAAGTAAGGAAGCAAGTACAAAGCCATAATTTAAAAATGTCTAAAAGTCTGAGGGTGAAAAAATGCCATAAGTAATGTCAGTCTCAAAAGCTGCAACCACTACCAAGTGAGCTCCATTTCTCTGCTTCATTGGGAATCTGGATAAAATGCTTATAATGTATTCCAGACTCACACCTAGGACTACAGAGATAAAATACTTTCCCCCTTCTCATCTGGCTTCTGAGAGAGGATCTGCACTGTTACTATGAGAGGATTAGCAGATACTGGTGCAGTGGTTCAGAAGTGCTTTTCTCTAAGAACAACAAACCTTCAATCCATAAAAATGATGAAGTTCAAGCTGGCCATTCCACTGACCTGAACTCGTGTTACATTTATAGATTTAATTCACTTTTCTGAGTGACATATCAGCAAAGTTCTTTCAAGGCCTCCTAAGTATTAATGTTTTCTGCAAGGTAACAC